TTACGTCATGTTAAGCGTAAGTAGATAGGTTGGAATAAAACACTAAGTATGTCCTTTAGAGGAGCTCAAACTCAAACTTTAATTGATTGTGTATGGACAATCGACCAGGCTACCGAGAGCCTGGAGTAATAAACAAAAATGTTTTGCTAATAATTTGTTGACCTCGACTCGTAGAACTCTAGCAAAATTAGGAAGCTGAACGAGGTATCAATCACATCTCTTTTTTGCTCATTTCTGACGAAACCTCTCGCCAACTGAACGTTGAATCTATATGTATGTACCTAGTAAGTATTGCGCGACAAATCCAATTTGCTCCCCTGTTCCCCTGCAGCCCCCTCCCTGCACCCTCGGTCCCGAAGGCACCTGTCTGCTGGCTCCCCTCGATGCTGTCGATATATTATCATATGTTCATGATAACATATTGATGGGGCATTGTGCTTAGTTAGTCAAATGAGCTCAGAGCACTAAGAGTTCCATCTGTCTCTGCTCAGCCTCACTCAGACATATACGCAGTTGTACCTAGATGTGAGGTTAGTGTATGGTATCTATTCAGTTTGGATAGTGTACTTACTGCACTTAGTACAACTAACATTCTAATACTAAATATCCCATCTAATTGAAAAAAATGTTAGGATAAAAGCACGATAAAACAAATGAAACTGAAAGAAGTCAAGACTACACAGGCCCCGCACACGTAAACTTAACCTATTCTAGTGATAATTCTGCGTGGTAGTGTGTTGGTCGTGTAACCTGAGACAAGAGGACAGGTCGCGTGCATAGCTCACACAGCCACAGTTCACAGCTGACACCCCGAGCCCCGACACGACATAACGCGCCGCTTAACCCCCGAGGACTGGGCCGAAGGTCAACAAGCCGGTGCCAAGTGCTCGGAGATAGTCGGTGGCGTAATGTGACGGCACGAGGAAACGCGGCAACAACTTATTCATTTATTCTATTAATTTGCTGCTGTGTAAAAACTTTTTTTTTATTCTTATAACATAAAATGTTGTAACATTGGATACACATGGGATTTCGTAGGCTCGCCATGAGAACCAGTGAAAGTAATCAAAATCTCGGTGGCTCGATATCCACTGATGTTATCCTACGCATAAGACCTAACTATTGACAAAAGTATACTGATATGGTTGAGGAAGTTACCTCAGTTTCTAATCTGTATTCAATAAAATGATCAGTTTACCGACATGGTGCGTACCGCGTACGTTTCTCGAATTATTTCCTGGTTAGACGTAAACAAGAGTTCGGCAAAGCGAAGCCGACCCATTTTGAACTGTATTGTATTGATCGGTATAAGGTGGATATGTCTCGAGATAAAGATGGCAGCGGCACCACATCGACATCGCGGCAAACAGTAACAGACACTAGACGCTCAGCTCTGTTGTCCGGATCTGTTTGCTTTGATTTCTTAATCACACATCTGGCATTAAGTAGGTACATATTTATCTTAAATTCAATACGCGGTATAAGGAAAGAGACGTCGATGGGCACGTGATACGCTAAATTTATTACCTCTATATGCTAAGTTAGAAACTTTGTATTAACGGTGAACAGTATTTATGTAGCTCATTATTTTACCTAATTGAGATGATGACAGGGTATGAAAATCAAAAATCTAAGTAGTCCGTAAGTTAAGTAATGAAAAAATATTAGACACGTATTTTTTTATTTTGTCGTATAAGTAATAAAACAATACTTAGATAAAACGAATCAAAGTTTATGAGTGGGGGCCAAAACGTCATTTCTACGTATAAAATGTACATAGAAGTGAGGTCACGCGACATTTTAAATCAATATAATTATCGTCGAAAGTATTGGTTTCTGTAAGAAAATAAAAAGTACGTGTCTAATGATTTTAAATAATCTACCAGACGGACATTAAAATAAAAATTAGGCATCTACCCTATTGTAGTTTATAAAGGCCTTACAGATACAATCAAATGAAACGTCTCCAAAATAATGCATGTTGACTGCATTAAGTTATATTTAGCCGAATCTTGGTAATCTGTATTCAGAATGTGTGCGGGCCCGGCTCCGAACTGATGGAGTCTCGTCCGCACTATTACTTTACGCCTATAACAGGCTGGAACTTCTTTTATAGGTAAGATTACTAGAATTATATCTGTTTGTGCATTTATTTATTTATCTTTTCTTACTCCTAATTGACTGATATTGATTCACCTCTTTTAATACACGCATGTCGAAAACATGGAGTAGGTACTTACTTGGTCAGATTGTGGGAGTAGATTGTCGTACAGTAATATAATTATAATTGATAATAAATTAGCAACGTATAGGCTGTGGTATTAGGATACGTCGACATCAGATATTCATTATATTACCACAGACAATCTCAAAAATAAAACTGACCATTAGATGCTATACATTTATTACACAACACAACTGAACTGACAGATGAGTTTGAGGCCACAAGGAAGCTGCTAGGTAGCAATATGCTATTATCTCGTCCGTTACATTTATTATTTATTGAAGCTAAATCTCATTCACTAATGGCAAAGGGGCTGAGATAAATGAATGTGTTCAAGGATAGTGGCACAGTGGATATATATCACATTGCTAGTATTACACATTTGCTGTACTGCTTTCTGGAGCTTACTTGAGCTGGTCGACCTATTATGATTATAATGCAAGTTAAAAGGAATTTTCCTATTATTGCTGACACACAAACATGAAAAGCTGAGCGCGTGTCCTTTGCCTCGACAACGCAAACATTGCCCTCATCCCGCGTCCTAACACCCAACCATAAAAGTTAACTTCGGAGCTTATCTGCAAACATTTTACGTCACACACTTTCTAACATTGCATCCAGCATCGTAATCAGAGCAAACAACAAACAGTGGTAGGGAAACACTGACCCAGCTCTGTTATAGGTACAGCTAAGTTTTGAAAAAGTGTCGACGTGTGTCTGACGCAGCGGTCGCCCGCTCGGGACCGTACTCAGAGTCTCGATTAACCCGCCAATGCTCACAATATACATAGTACACTCGCTAGCTAAACGACCCAATACCCTTACGCAAAATTAAATGTCCTCAACCTTGATTACTTTGTTTAAATTCCGTTTAAAAGCTCACTGGTGGAAATAAGAGGTTTCTGGAAAGTTCTTATCAACTTATGTTAAACAGACACGGAGCAGAAAGGAAGGTATCTTCCTAAAAAGTTAAACAATATAAGTTTTATTAGGTAAAAATACAGACCCCGATGAGTCTATCAAAGTCATTCCCTGCTCACACAGAAGTCAACCGGTGTTGTTCCCGCTGTTTTACCCGCGACCACCCTACGTAGACCTGCTGATCTCCCCTGTGTTTTTACTATAAATTGACGCGTGTACCAATATGTTGGCAGCCAGAGGTCTCAGCTAAATTGTCAAACAAGTCACGTGGTAAACAAAGGGTTGCTGCATCGGGAGCAATTATACGGCGATCCACTAAATATTAGATGAGAAATATAAACGCGGCTTTCTGACAGGGGACAGCTATTTATGAAGCCATAATCTCGATGTACGAGGGTTTGCGGTGTTGTCTCCGTAAAGGGTTATTAAGAGGTCAGATTTAGACGTCCTCGGTCCTAATGACATTGGTACCAATTTTGACTTACACTTGTAGGTGTTATGTAAATATTATAGTTTAGCTATAGCTTCGTTTGTGTGAATCACATCATCTATGGTTAGGACGGGTGAAATACATTATCACATTTAATTAAGGCAGAGGAAAATTATGGCAGACTTCTTTTGGTATTTTTCTTTCCTTGCCGTCCAGGCCTTCTAGCTGTAGGCAATGAACCTTGATAGAGCTACCAGTCAATTCGTTAACACTTATTTCTATGAGAATCTTGTCTATTATTACATACCGTTTTGATTGAGATTGTCTATATGTAAGAAATAGTTTGAACTTTTTTACCAGCCAACATTTTATAAATTAAGTAAATTGGCCGCTATCCTCTACTAAATTTTAACTTTATACTATGTTTTAATAATTTACTTACATAAAATAAGGTCAAAGGTTCACAGAATTCTGTGAAAAATGAGGAACTATTTTATCCGATCTCATCCGTCGGTCGTTACTAAGTACCTCTATAGAACATTTGGCAGACTGCCAACTAAGAAAATTATTAAATTGTGCAAACTTTTAATACGTTCAATGTTGCGGTAACTAACTATAAGTATGTACCTACATGACGTAGGTAACACCTGCATTCAGGAAAATATATCTGTTTACAACTAGGTAGGTATTGACGTCTTTTATTAATGTGTATAAATAAAACTATCATTGAATTGATATTACGTTGTACTTGATATAATTAGATTTATTTAAATAAACTAAATGAAAACATGGTGTAATAACAAATGAATCGTACGGCACATCCCTCAAAGCAATACGTTCTCTGCGATTGTAAATAATATTTACACATTGTAAACGATAACTCGTAAGCATCCCCGCACGGCACAAGGAGGGATTCATTCGCAATGAGCAATACTTAGAGACGTTGAAACGGAGGGTCCCGGCGAGGCGCCCTGGGGGACGCCGGCATTTCATCTACCCCACACGCCGAGTACTTGCTGATTTTTATGCACATTGAAGGGGAGCAACAGCAATGCATTTAATTCGAAGGGACACGACTTTGAAGTCTGGATACTTCGCTTGCTCAGGAGGGAAACTCGCAATCTGGTTTACCTTGTCGAAAGCTTTAGAATCAACAATTTCATATTTTATTTAACTTTGACATTTTTTTGTATTACTTTTGGAAAATAAAACAAAACTAAACAACTATGTGTCGGGTTAACGGTTAACGGTTAACGGTCTATGTTTCGAGAGTAGTTAGAAGGTATGCCTAATACACCCAAAAACTCATTAATCGCTCCAACACAACGGAATCAGAGGATTAAGAAAATAATCTTTGTTTGATAATGTTTCTTAGTATCATAGACAAAATAGAATAAATAATACAAAGTTGGCATCATGTTTCAGATGAGATGTGGAGTTCAGTGGAGAGCGGCGGCACCAATGGTCGCGCAGCGCCGTGTGCGCGCGGCAAGCACTCGGCGACGCTGCTGGGCGGGCACGTGTATGTGCTGGGGGGGCGCGGCGCCGGCGGTGCTGTGCCTCTCCGGGACTTTTGGAGCTACAGCCTTGGTGAGCTGATAATATACCATACCTTCCATACTTTATTTCATACCACTAGTACCACGTCCTTCTGTGATCATTATTATAAATAATGTCTGAATCAGTCTTGAGACATAAACGAATGACATCACAATATAATATTAAGAGCAGCGTCGTGCGGCGTGCCTCCATCGCTGAATAGAATACTAATGAATCAATTAATGGCGTCTATATTTATGATTAACAACTTGCTCTTTGTTGAGCACCGCCCTGAATACGGCACTTCACACCAATCGTCGGAACTGTCGTCAGCAGTGGTTCAAGAGCTCTTCACAAAAACGTGTCTGTTCTTCCTTGGAGCGCCTCCACTGATGTACGAGTAGCTACCAACTGCCGTTAATTAGGTCGAGCTTCGAAACTCGAACGCTAATTACATCGCAAATTTTTTGCTGCAGAGACTATACATGTAGTGAAGTACGGAGTGTTTGTTACACGTAGTGTCGGTGACTAGTTGGAAATAACTATTACACTAAAGTTCTGTGGGAAAGCTTAGTATGAAAATGAATGAATTCGGGGGTGGGTTTTATTAACAGACTAGCGACCCGCCCCAGCTTCGCACGGGTGCAATACTTATGTAAAAATACCTACTACAAAATATCCTTATACACCACGTTCACAGCTATTTTGACAATACAAACATGTTTTATATTGATATTTTCCTCGCTAGAGAGCTCCGTTAAACGCGTGCGATCGTTGCAAGTCATGAAGTGCTGTAGGACGAAACGCAGCCATCAACGCCGCAAATATCTTCGGAAATATTGATCTATGAATAATGCACAATTTATTTAAAGTACTTAATTGGATAAGGATTAATGTTGTATTGTTTAAAATCACTTCGTAAATAACCATAGTAAAGGATAAAAAATGGTTATAGTGGGCTGTGGGTTATCCCTAATAGATAGACATATACCATCGTGGACGTTTTTATTTTTAAGGTGGTCAATACTGTAGTATATTATTTTGGCCTATCTCGTAGGGTACAGCCAGCGTCTGCAATATAAGCGTAAAAAAAACGTGCTGATTTACGACATCACATTAGAAACCTCTAGTTGCTCTACTTACTATATTATGCATGTATTATACATATAAACCTTCCTTAAGAATACTTATACTATGTAGTGATGATTACTTAGGTTGAGAAGTCTAAAGAGCGAGTGATGTCCCATTCGATCCCCGCCGTGGGTGGATCGAACATCGAACAATCTTAGTAATAGCACGGAGTATGTATGCATATATATATAAGTATAGTATAGTATAGCTCTAAGAAATAGTTATAAATTTTGTTATAAATAATTAGTTATAAATGTTATAAATAATTTTTGTAACGTTTTAAATTGCTGCGCCCTAACAGGGTATGTACTGAATAGTTGTATGTAATACTTCTTATAATATGTACATTGTGCAATATGAATAAATAAATAAATAAATAAATAAATTTTGTTATTATATTCATAGCTACCGGTAAATGGGAGAAGCTGGAGTGTCGGGGCGACCCTCCCCCCTCTCTGCAGGAGCACAGCGCCACGGCGCACGAGAACAAGCTGTATGTATTCGGAGGCGAAGCCGGTGCCCTCTCCAACGAGACTCCACTCTGGATATATGACACAGAGGTACGCAGAGCTTGCCAACACGACCTCATGATGCCTAGTGCATTCAACTAGGTCATCGTGTAACTGGCTAACTTTTTCCATAATAATTTATCATTTTGTACCTCTACAGCCATACCTATTAAGTAGGTACCTACTCATAGTTCATAAATGAGCTCGCGTGCACAAGTAGCTGCTGTCGCAGTGCACTCATTCGATTAATTTAGAGTCAGGTTAAAAGACCTAATATTATCAGACGTTGTAATAAGTATTTATGGATAGATTCTGCAGCACCTGCGGTCTCAGGTACTGCATTATTAGCAGCAGGTACCTAACCAATCAAATGTTAAATTTAGTATATTTAAATAGTTGTAAATCACATGTTCCAGACACAAGTATGGCGCAAGCTGCCGGGCCAGTCGAACTACACGAGCACACTGAGACGGCGCAGCCCGCGGGATGCCCGGGGCGCCGCGCTCGGGCCGCGCGGCCGCCGCGGACACTCCGCGCATGCACTCAAGGACTGCCTGCTCATATACGGTGGATACAAGGACCTCCGGGGTTCTACGCACGAACTCTGGGCGTTTCATTACGGTGAGCAGCAATCTGAAGTAAAATAATTTAGGAGACGCTTGCAAAAAAGAATTGTGTCCCTTCTTAAGTGCGTGGGAGTTTATCCAGCCTTTAGAGAGAGTTAAACACACATATTAAATGAAATGTATGACTTGCAGAATCGGAGTCGTGGCACCAGGTGCGCACGGCGAGCCCGGGCCCGGCGCGGCACCGGCACGCGGCCGCGCTGCACGACAACCGCCTGTACGTGCACGGCGGGCAGTGCGACCTGCGGGACTGCGCCGACCTCTGGTACTACGACACCAGTGAGTACCACACCACGAACTAACCACTACCACTACAGGACCTTTTAAATAAATTTATATTATTGTAATAGAAACTAGGTCATTTTACACTGTGTCGTGTTGTCAGTGTCCCGCGTATGGAGCCAGGTGCGCACGCCTGCCAAGCTGGCGCCGAGCGCACGCAGCGGCCACGCGGGACTGCGCGCCGGGGCGCATCTCTACATCTTCGGCGGCGAGACACATGGACACTCCACCAACGAGCTCTGGAGATTCCACTTCGGTAACGTAACATCCTAATTTGTAGGTTAATAAAAATGTACCTATGCTTACACGTCGTTATTTACAAATGAAAATAATGAAATAGTCTAAAAATGACCTACAATAAATTATCTATTTATTATTACAGCCACAGAAACATGGGAGCGAATAGTTCAGAGTCTGAAATGGCCGTCCCCTCGTGTAGACAGCTGCGCGCTGCTGATCCCCGCCGCTCCCCCGCGCGTGCGCTCGGCCCCCGCCAACAGGCTCGGCCCCAACAGGCACTCGATGAGCTCGCGCCCCGACCCACCCGCCAGTCTGCTCAAAGAGATCTCCAAGTTGTCCTCATTCCACATCCGGAGAGCTGCTCGGTGCTCGTACAGCGTGCTGGCCGGAGAGAGAGACTCCACGGAGAGTCTCGTGCGACAGGAGGCCGCTGCATTGTCCAAGTCACACTCCGCGTATATTATAGACAAGCGACAGCCCGCAGATGGCGACGAGAGCCCCCGAGAAGGTGATGTTCCCGAGTTTAGATCAGAAATGTCTCGAGAGCCAATTTCAGTTCCCGACTTTGCTGATATGATTCTGCCCACACCAGTCTTATCTCCAGTAGAAGCTACTAAGCTGGTGTATCTCGATTCGGAAGATGAAGAAGATATGAAGCGTGAAATTAGTAACATGAAGAAAAAAGACGGGATCACATCAGTGAAGCTCGACGGCAAGGTCACCGTGGTCACGATCCCTAAGTCGGCATCCGTCCGGTTCACTAAGGACACGATAATCACTGACGAGGAGGACACGGAACTGTCCACGTCTGACTACGCGAGTGCGGAGCGTGTCAACCGACTCTCTGGTAATTCGTTAGGGTTCAGCAATCCTCATTATTTAGGACCTGACGTGAGAAATTTAGGAGCAGCGTTGACTCCAGATTCTGGTGTAGGTCCTGGAGATATTGAGCTGCAGGATTTAGGCGAGAGACGTGCCAGAAGTGTGCCAAGAAACGGCGAGACTCAATTGCATCTGCTGCTAGTGGGTGGCAAGGAGCCCCCCCACCTCGCCCTGCTCCAGAACCCGCTGTCCATGTGGACCTACAGGTTGTTGTAATTAGTGACTCGTTAGTTTAGATCTTCGTCCATTAGCGGAACTAGGGTCCTCCAGGGCTGAACGTAGCCGTCGATTTGGCGTTTCCAATCACATTTATTTTTATGGCTCTAAAAATATTTTAACAAAATGATCTTTATGTAAATAATTTTAAAGTTGAGAATCATGTGAACGTGCTTTTCGAATCGTTGACGTCCAAATTATTGATGTAAAGAAAATACTTATGAGCTGAGGCTTAGTTTAGGTAGTTACAAGGTGTAGGTACCTACGACTACGTGTTCGCATTTATACTAAAAGTACTTACTCAGACATAGTAACGATAACGCGGAATATTTATAATTTTATATGATTATACACAATGTCCTCGACTCTTCCAAGAATGTCTGCCCAGTTAATTAATCTGGTAGTCTGTCTGTCCACGTTACAGTTCTCTGTTCATGCACCAGCACCATGTGATTCGTGTTGGTGCTGCGTTGTCGTTACTGTATTAGTCCGTCGTGTAGCTACTATACTATATGGGTACAATGAGTGCCAATTCAAGTATTCTTAGATGTAACCCACATTTTGATGAAGTAGCACAAATGTGGTGAACTCCGAGGTCGTGTGGCAGCCACGTGCGATAACGATACTAACTTTTATTGGAACACCTATAGACTAATAGACCTAATCCTTTACCTACTTAGTAAACAGGAATAATACGCATCTGGTGTTGCGGGTGTCCATAGGCGGCGCGGATTGTTTACCATCAGGTAATCCGATTGCTCGTTTTCCGGCTTATCCTTTAAAAAAATATTGACCTACCTATATTATGCAATGTATACAAAGTAGGTAATTCTGTAGTGCAGCTGAGCAGATACTTGATCTGTAAATAATGACCTAGTACTGTATCGGAGGATCAAAAGCTGTGATATATTGTTTATCTTGCTCGACTACTATATGTATGTACAACGTCGTATCGCACGCATGCGTCCTGCAGACCTAGCGCTGATTTATAATCTGTGGTATTAACAAATAGTCTCCTAATAATATTATTGTTTTAAGTTTAAGTTTACATTGATGTGCATGCAATACGTTGTTTGTTATATCTCTTAAGTTTTTCAACGTTACTCAGTTGTTTTATATTTTTATTGTTTTTCTATATTATTATTAATGACTTGTTTTGTACTTAGAAGTTTTAACAGATTACAAACATTTTTTCGGAACATAATGTTGAAATGAGATATTACGCGACGACCCGATATTATTTAGCATAGACGGTAATCATGCAACCTTTGGTCGAAAATGTTTATGAGAATTTACATATGTATGTGTGGGCACAAAAAAACTTCCATAGTGACTTCAAGGACAGTAGTCAGTCTACTAGCTCGACTACCTGTAGCAAACCATGTGAATGTCACCACTGCCCTCTGACATCAGAGAATTTAATGTTTTATAAATTACTATTAAACTTTGGACTGTGTTCTTCTTGGATGTAGAAAAACCTTGAAAGAAAAACTAACTTGTTGTGCTGTTTCTACTTTCTAAGATGAGGCAACATTTCAAGGCAATGGACTGCAGGTGTGGCCAGGCGCGAGTAAAGTAAAATATTTAGTAGATTTTTAAGTACAAAATATTATCTAATTGTAGCGTAATTCGCTGCTCAATGCTCATGAATATAAGTCCCAGAGTGACTTGAAACTGGTAGAAGTTTTCTCCAATGTATAATAAATTAATTGTACTATGGGCCCCCGGCCGTACCTGCGTCCCTGCCGGTGGCCAGTCACTAGCTTACCCAGTACTGTACTGTGTGGTAGTACTAGTAGTTACGGACTCGTAGCCTGTACTCGCGGAGTGCGCGCCGCGCGGAGCGTTGGGCGTTGCTAAGACTGAGTAGTGTGTAGCGGTTACATTGCGTTAGGTACTGTACTCATGTCTCTCAAATTAATCACATAAATAAAAGCTACGACCGTCCGGGCATTTTCTAAACTATATGGTCAGATGTCAGCACTCGTTGGTTTAGACTGAATAAAAAATATATACTTAAACCATTCGAATCTCTGCCCTTTTAGGTGTTTTACACATACATACTGCGGTTGACGAGCTCGTGACTATAGCCGCGACTATTTGATTTCGTGTGACAATTGCTATTGGTAGCGACCAAGATTTCTTGTAAGAAACATTGTGCCTACCTGCTCAATATGTCTGCTCGGACCGGCAGACTGTTGTGAATACGCTGCATCACCTGGCCGGGTCCCATTCAAGTACAATATTCGAAATGTTAATAAACGTAGCTATGTCCATGTCACTCTTTTATTTTAATCCCATCAACCCTAGTAGCTGCCGTTCCGTTTTATAATATTTTTGCGTTACCTATATCACAATAGCAAACGTCGGCTTCGTCAAGTCTAAGCTCATAATCTATTCGCGTAACACATAACGCTTATTCACGAATAAAGTCAGTTAGAAATGAAACGACGCTACTTCATGTAAGTCACTTTATTCAGAAGGCTACAGTCATTACATTAAGAATTCATATCATTACTACAGTAATAAAATTGAGGTTAGAGAAATTACAACGGCAACAATTATATAAAACATACAAACGTATGAAATGTCAAACATTACATTGTGTCAATAAATCTGTGTGGAAACTAGTAAACGATGAAAAACATAAAAATTGCTAAGTTATGTTCATTGGCAACATTTATATCCACTGAATAAAATATTGGCAGGAAAATAAATGAATAATAACCACTTATTTCATAGAGCTACATAATTCATTTGCATACAATAGGAAATGACAAACATTCATAGAGATTAATATAATTTGATGGCGGTTTCCACCCTTTAATACATTTAGCAGTAGTAGCCGCGTAGTGGCGCGCTCGCCACTACTCCCCGCGGTCAGCCTCTACGCCCAATTGGATCAACAAATTTCTATAAACGTCATTGAATAATGCTAATATTGAAGGTATAAATTGCAACAAACATATGTACTGACTCAAATACACGGCGAGCCAAGCCGAGGATGCATACATGGACTATTGAAGTGACAAAGCAATCGTACACTACGAGAAGAGAGTTTTAGTTGAAAGTATTGTTTTTGTTGTCCCGAATGGATAGTTTCAAGAGATACTCGTCTAGCATGGCGGCGTGCGACATGCCGGGCGCGGCGACGAGTGGCGGCGGCGGGGCGCGCCGCTACTGGCCCGCGCCCGCGCCCGCCCCCGCCCCGCGCCCGCCCCCGCGCTCGCGCCCTCCGGGTACACGACGCCAAACAAGGACGTGCACGCTGCCTTGGCCGCCAACTTGCGCGCCTCCTTCTTGTTGGGGGCTGCAACGTAATACATACTCGCACTCACTAACCATTCACTTCATTATTTCTATGCAAGATTTCTAAGACTTGTGCTTTAATTCAGGTCAAAATAATAAAATGGTGTACCTTTCCCGATGTACGTGCTACCGTCGACCTCGACTCCCATGGTGAACAGCATGTTCTGTGGCCGGTCTCCCTCCACGGCCAGCTCGCGATACTCCATGTGGGGCCGCATGTACGTCAGTAGCATGCAGGGATGCATGTCCACTGCGTTGGCTGGCAGCTCCTTCGGCTTCTTGCCTTGCGACTCCTGCACGCTCTCCGACCCCTGCGGGACACAGGGACTTAGCGACCCGCGAGTAATTTACACACGTATATAAAGAGTGGCAACATGATGGTCGCTACGTACAGAGAGCGCGGCGGGTTTGAGTTGTGGCACCTTGTGTCCCTCGTACTCCCACTCAGTGAACAGTTTGTGCAGCGCGAAGGACGCGAGCTGTATCATGGGCAGCGCGTCCTCGTCAGTGCTGCAGTCGCCACTGTTGGAACCTGCGACAATCATTCAAATACTCCATTTCACATATTATGAGGCGTATAAAGGTGAGACAGTTGATGTCAACCGTTTTAGAGTTACATCTTTGTTGAACATTGATAATAATAAATCACAAGTAGTACTGACCACTGTCACTGTTGATGACCTTGTTCATCTTCTTGATGATGAGATCTCGTATGGCTTGCTCGGCGGCCGCGTTGCGCGCCATCAGCTTGTTGTCACCTGCAACGTGCGCGTGTAGTTATTGAAGTGTGAAGTAACTCAATGTGTGTAGTACTAGCGTCGTGTGACGTCACACGTGTGGGCGTACCATATCCCTTGTAGTTGGTGCCATCCACGGTGAGGTCGGCGCAGAAACTGTGCGTGTTGGGAGCCTTGTAGTACTGGTTGTTGGAGGATGGCTCCACTTTGAATTGCTGTAAATTGTAAACATAAACATTAACACAGATTTGCCCTAAGATGGTAAGGCAAGAAGTTGAACCAAGTCCAGGCTGGAGTACTCACGCTGACGCTGGCGACCTGCTCTGCGGGGAGGATCTCGTTGAGCACCATCAGCGCATTCTTGGGAGTCAGTAAGCGCCGCAGACTCTCGTTTTGACGACGACGGCGCTCCTTGTTACTGACTTTCTTCACTGTAATCAAATTATTTTGAATCACAATCACGTCTCTCCACTCTGTGTCATCGGTATTGAAATAAATGATGCATGCTCTGCTCACCTCCTGGCAATTTGCTCTTCATCCAATGAGGCCGCGCAGGGGTCGCGTCATCATTTTTGGGTGCCACGGGGGTGTCCGCCATGTTGATGTCATCTTCTTTGGTCTGCTGATATAGTTTATAACAATTAATTCACAGTACATGGGTTGCTCTAGTCGCTATTTGCGTGCACATGACAAATTGTACAATACGTTGAAATAATTATGCATGAAATAATAACGCAAAGCCCTTCTTGCACATGCTGATCTGGTCCCATTTCACCGCAAACTTGGGACATGAACATGTAATCATCAGTACTTATGAACTTACACTATAATTTGTACATGTCATTTGTCTTTGGCGTGTTAAATAAAGTTATTTTTTTTCTTTAAATATTAAGTGGCGACACACTATCACAGTATGAACATTATGTACCTCGCTCACTTGGACGGGCTGCAGATTTTGGTGTTGTTGCGCCTTCCGCTGAGGCTGAGGTGACACGTACGTCTATCGACATAACATACAATAAAAGTCCGGGCGTAACTAATACTAAAAGCTAGTCACAATAACCCGTACACCAGTATATACTTTCAAAACGAATCACTTCACTCCTATAACCCAAAGCGTTTCACTGTCAGGTCCTAATTGCAGAGTTGTTCAACATTGATAGTGATGGACCACCATAGCTAGTGGGATGCAGATAGAATGCCGAGCACCGAGCACCAAAATCGCAGAAACAGTATGATGCGTGTCTTAGTACTCACTGATGACTAGACTCTAGTGCCTTGCGCCGCCGCTTCCCGACGCCATCCGACCGCGGCCTGCCCGACACCACCCGGCGTCATACAGCCACGTAGGGGATGCGTTCCACCATCCACTCACTCTCAGTTATACATCCACTCATAGCAAATATAATGGAAACAGCAAACTGCTGGCGAAAATGTTGTAAATGGAAATAATATTTGAAATGCAATAAAGCTAAGAAATGTCATAGTTTGAAGTGCGGCAGCCATATCTAATCATCTCGTACACGGTGATGGTGGGCTCACATCACCCATCAACCTCCATATTCCTATCATGTCTGTCACCCCACAAAATTGCAACCTCCTCTAAAACCAGTTGGGGATCGCATGGGTTTTCGCATGTGGAATTTAAATAGTTACAATTTCAGAGGGTTGTCACATGTTAGAAATCTGGAGCAGCTTATGTCTAGTAAGTCTAGAGAATGCTGTATGGTTACGAATTGCATAATTCGTGACAATACTACTTTCTCAAACCACAGAGCTATCCTCTGAGAGTCTCACGTCGACATCTGACAAGCATGACAACATGTTGTAGTGCAAGCCGAGGTGCGACCAAACATCATAAGAGGCAATAAGCAAGTGATTACGTTTGCATGTGTCTCATATGATGCTGGGTATAGACGTGCAGGACTTGAGCCCAGTCAGAGGGTAGCTAAAGACTTCAAGTGGCCTGTAAGAACCAGGGGCGCGGCTCTCCAAGGCTCTGTGGTAACAGACATTATGATTTTTACAAATATTTTTAAAGTTATTGTTACTTACTACCAGTGTTATATACTACAGTGGAACTCAATTACAAAGAAATATCTAGACTTGTAGCACTTTAAACAATTTTATAATAATTATTATTATATATATTGTACTTTATTCCAGTATTTTAAACAAACTTTGGAGGTAATAGGGTAGATGACAAAATGTCCGTGTGGTAAGTTATTTTAAAACATTAGACATATCCTTTTATCTGTTGAAACACCGGCTCCCGGCATAAAACACATTATACCCGCAACTTTCAACAGACAAGAGGACTTTTAATTTCTTTCATTAAAAAATACTTCCGACAATATAGTGATTTGAAATATTGTGTGATGTCCCATCTATGTACATTTTATATGTAAAAATATCGTTTTCACTCTCACTCCAAAACTTTGATTCATTTTACCTAAGTATTTTTGTTTATATGACAAACTAAAAAAATATGTTGTTAATATTATTTTATTACTTAATATACGGACTAATTACATTTTTAATTTTCATAACCTGTCATCATCCCTATTAATTGTCAGCAAAACTAAAATAAAACTAATTATAACAATATCAATAATAACAAACAATGTGTACTGAATTATATTCTCAAAAATAAGTAAGTTACTTACCTCTGCTGCAGGAACAAACTGGCCCGGTGTGTTATAGCGCCCAGAGAATCTAGTGTTATCTGCCAATGACATCAAGGTAAGGTTAGTAAATGACATGCCACCTTTTATTTATTTCTTCTCTTTGTGTTAAAACAACTTGAATTCTGGTAACTCAGATCAGCTATAATCTATATCTATATACTTATAATAAATCTGTAGAGAGGTCAATTCTGTACATACAATATATTTAAAAAATAACTATCAAGGGGTGGTTAGGGATCGCTACTGATGCCAAAAATGCAATCAGTAAAATTTTTGTCTGTCTGTCTGTCTGTCTGTATGTTCGTTATGGAAACAAAAACTACTCGATGGATTTTAACGAAATTTGGCACAATTATTCTTCATACTCTTGGGCAGGTTATAGTATACTTTTCATTACGCTACAATCAAAAGGAGCAGAGCAGTGAAGGGAAATATTGGGAAAACGGGAGAAGTTACTCCATTTTTTAAGCTTCCGTCGCGTGTGCACGCTTATAGGTTAAAGCTGCATAGAAATCATATATGACTGAAATATTCTCCTTAAAATTATATAAAAAATATTCCTCGACAGCATATGTCTATCTTTTATGGTTGACTCACAATAACACGTGAAACTCCCGATAGCTTAGCAATTCGGTGATTTCTGATTGTATTTGTCTACTCTAACGTTTACAATACTCATTCATAGACATTACGCTGTAACTGAAAGGCCAATGGTTGAAATTAGCTTGACTCGATATTATAAATGAAAATATGTGAGTTTATGTGTATGTTTGTTACTCAGTCATATTAAAACCACTGAAGGGACCGGAATGAAATTTGGAACAGAGGTAGATTATGGTCTGAAGTAATACATAGGCATTTTACCCCTGAGATCGCGGGCGAAGCCGCTGGCAGAAGCTATTATTATTATAATTATGTCAGTGTTGAGCTGGTCAAAACAATTCTTAATAAAACTATGTCAGGCTCCTACAACAGTACAGATGGAAAGTGAAAAATCGCAAAACGTGAATTGTTTCTTTGCTTTAGTATGTAGTAAAGCATATTAGATACAAGATAAAACTGCTGACCTAAAGACTTTTCAATAATTCTGGGACACTTTAAAATAACGAAATATTGTCGCTGCGTCCGTAGGGGAATTTATAAACAAAGTATCTATAATAACTAACTTCAGTGAAGAAATTAATCAATAATATTAGTACTGACTGCGGCTTTGATCACTACATTCTGAAAAATCAATACCGCGCATGTTCTACTACTGTTCAGGTCATTATTACCAGACAGATGAACATACAACATTTAAGGTTTATTAATGCTCACACAATGACTATAACTAGTAATCACACCGGTCCAACCTAGCAAATAATTACAGATGTATTTTAACTTACATTGTTTATTGTTGTAGGCCATTTTAATGATTTGCTAAAACTTGTCGTCGAGCACTTGTTTAATATCTTTTAAGTTTGCAGGAAAAGTAATTGCACTTAATTGCAATTACTTTCGTTAATCTAATCGCAGCGCAGATCACAATCACAAAATCAATTTCAGCTATCGACGATATAATATTTCTAGGATCAAACTAAGTACAAACTTGCAACCAATCAACTAAAACGAATGTCAAAATTTACAAATGTCAGACACTGCTCGTTTGCCGTGCTTGCTAATCGGAAGTCGGAATGAAATGAATGACCGACCATCGAATAACCGTTTTTTTTTTTCTAGTTAGTAAATTGACTTAATTGCGAAAAGAAAACATTTTAAAATAGTAGTGGCCCATGGATGAATCGTGAAGAAATTGGAAGAAACATTAATTCACAATTCACAAACAGGTAAGGACAACATGAGTGGTAAACCATAGATGATGGAGAAAGTAGAGCTGTCTGTGATGTCTGTCGAGTCAAGTCGAGTGTCCCTGACTGTCGTCGTTTTTTATCTATCTCTAGACCTGTCAGTCAGTCAGTAATCATTCGGACCAAAGAGTATAATAAGTATAGGGGTAATTCGGACGTTCAAGTAGTTTTTACTGTTTCTACGTTTATTTACAAAAGTTTTGATTAAAGGAGCGTATACTGGTGTAGTTACTTCCAATACTGATACGATATTCTTAGTGCATCCAAATCTTCACAAAAACTGCACTACTTGTGAATTATCTGCGACATTGTCGTGTATATTGTCCTAAGTGTTCCTAAATGGCGTGGATGTTATGACCAGTAGCGAGCAATGGTTGTTTATAGTTTTGTATGAAAATGTAATCTAATCCTGAATTGGAATTGGTAGTCGCTGTAACACGGACAGTTTGAATTAATTCACGTAAACAGGTGAGCTGTCTTTTTGTTTCAAATAATCTGTTTCCTATTTGCATTGGATCAGTGTGTAAACATAATAAAGTATTAAAAATATTGTCAGAGACACAGAAGGACCGAAGGACAGTATAGTAGTAATCGATAATATTAAATATTTACATAATGTGGAATCTTGTGTGTTTTAAAAGTGGGCTGCCATGTTTACATAATTGATTAATGAAATCTACCACAAATAGGATTTTGAAACAATGATCTGACTGTGTAGATATGTCACTGCGTGAGATTATATTACAGAGCTGGTAGTACCTTCACCGCACTTGTGTGTAGTTACTTGTGTAAATTGTATTTTATTGATTCGTGACTATCACTGTTTACAGGTATTTTAATCTTACAATTATTGGACTGCCTCGTTGGCTGAGTGGTCGTAAGTGCGACTGCCGGGCAAGGGGTTTCGGGTTCGATTCCCTAGTCGGGCAAAGTATTACTAGGTTTTTTTTAATATTCTCAGTAGTAGCACGGAGTCTGGTATAATGGCAATAGGCTCACCCCCTGTTACATGGAACTCATAACATTAATAGTGAAAAGTAGGTGTTATATTGTACAATGTTCACCTCTGCCTACCCCTTCGGGGATAAAAGGTGTGATGTTATGTTATGTTAATTATTGGAACGAATATTTCTTACCAATAAGTATTTGTATTCCTTTTTTTATGGCATAAGCCAGTAAACAATCAGACGGATCACTTGATGCTAAGCAATGGGCATCGCCTGTGGACACCTGGAACACCAAGGTGTTACAAGTGCATTACCGGCCTTTTGGGAATTGGAAATTTGAGGATTCTGATGGATTGGGGAGACTGGGTAATTGGGCCTCTGGTAACCTCACTCACACGACCGTGGTATCACTCCGGTCTAGTCGGCCCATTCGTGCCCAAGCATGGCTCTCCCACACTGTGTGCCAATCCTTACTTATATTATAAATCGGAAAGTGAGTTTGTTTGTTTGTTTCACTTTAACACCATAACTACTAAACCGATTGCTTTGAATTTTTGCAGATGTATAGTTAGAAGTCCAGATTAAATAATAGGGTACTTTTTATCCCGGAAAAATTTGATATTCCCGAGGGAAAACAAAAGTATTGGTATAGATGGCGCTGTGTGTATTGGTATATGTCACATTGGCTTTTTATCCTTTTGTGACGCGAGCGAAGCCGCGGGTAAAAGCTAGTATTAAGATAAAACATTGTCCATTGCAGTATGAATGAGGTAGAGAGTATGTCGTCGGTGCACTGCGTGGTGGTGTGGGAGTGGGCGTGCGGGGGGGCGTGGCTGCCGCACACGCCGGGCGTGGCGCGCACGCTGGAGCGCGCGCACGCCAAGAAGCTCACGCGCGTCGTGCTGGCCGACGCAGACCCCGCGCTCAGGGGACACTACGTCAACCTCAGGACTCTGACGCAGTGTCTGGATACTCCAGGTATAATGGCATACTACTAACTGCTAACACTTTTGTTCTATGATGTTGCAATAAGTATTGGAATAAAAAAGTTAAGGTTTTAGGGAACAGAGAGTATAGTTCCCTAAGATCGGAAAAGGAGGATCCTCCGACCAGGCGAGGTGATCGTGCCTGGCGGGCTTTCTGCCCAACAGTTGTTCGTTGGGATTTTCTATCCGTGTTTATTCGCTTGTAAACTTTGCATGTGCGATGTAGGATTCTTGTGACGTCATCCGTTGACATGTGACATGCGTCGCCACAAGGTCGATATTTTTGTTGTATTAAAAAATGAAATTAATGAAATGTTTAACGTTCTCAAGTCTTTTTAATGTAAAACACATTATGTATGTATTATATTAGTATGTATCTTATGAAATTCAGAAGTATTGTACTTCTACTTCACTGTAATTTAGGAGTGGGAGGTAGCTACATCATTTTACAGTATAAATCGTACTCAAAAAGTGACGTCATGTGATTTTCCGTAAGGAAATAAAAAATACGTGTCTAGTCTTAAAATAAGTAATTTACCAGATGGACAATAAAATAAAAATTAGTCATCTACCCTATAATACCTATCATAAATATTAAAGTTATATCACTATACATATAATATAATGTCGATTATGGTTTGTTCGTCCAGAGGGTGGGTCGGTAGAGTGCCGCGTGCGTCGCTCGTGCTACAGCGTGACGTCACCGGCGGGGCGCGGCCTGCGCTGGGAGTGGGCGCGCTTCGTGTCGCCGCCACTCGGGGGGGAACTCAACTACGAACCACTGCCCATGGAGGTACATTATTGTCTTTATTCTTTATTTTAAAACTTTAATTTGTAAAATGAAATGTGTAATGTGTAATTCAGGTGCAATGCCTACTGGAAGACTCATGGTCGGGTGGTGGGGAGCCGGTGTCATTCGACGGATGGGTGGCTTCTGTGGCGCGCATGACGGCGCGCTGCGGGGGCAGCGGAGGGGGCGGCGCGGGGGGCGTGGCTCTACTGCGGCGCGGCCCGCAGCCCCCCTACCCACTCACACGGCCCACGCCCCCGCACCCGCCACCACCGCCAGACCGACCGCCACTAGAAGGTATAGCCAGTACTGCCATTAACTTTAAGGTTCAAAATCGAAGAGTTTTATTTTAATGAATTTGATCAACTATTTGCAGGTCGTCGTCCGCATATTCCTCAACAACACACTGGATCCAGTGTGCACTCAGTACAATCAGTGCAGTCAGTGCAGTCAGTACAGTCAGTACAGTCGGTGCAGTCAGTCCACTCGCTCCAGTCCCTGCAGGCCAGCCAGTCGAGCCAGGCCTCCACCATCCCCCGGCAAGGAGCGCGCAGTGCCTCGCCGCGAGACCGCAAGCCCGGCCTGGCGCGACAGATACTGCACAACTTGAATATATTCAGTAAGTTTATTTATCTTCCACCACAACCCGTACTGTGTGCGACCCGTACTGAGGCGAGTGTCCGTGCAGGCCACAGCAAGCAGGCGGCGGGCGCGGCGCGCCAGCAGGCGGCGGGCCCCGCGCGCCAGCAGGCGGACGCCGACTGCAGCAGCACGCGCTCCGGCCGCCGCCACAGCGTCGACACCGTGTCCACCTACCTCAGCCACGAGAGCAAGGACAGTCTGCAGGTACACTCCTACACTTCGAACGTTCTTATCATATTTCTTTAGCTTCCCTCCCTTGAGGCATCGAACTGTACAAGCAAACAAGTTAAAAGTAGTATTTAAGTTCCTTTTTATAATTTATTTGTCTTATTATTGAATAAAATAATATGATTTGTGTGCAGCAGACGTCTGTGGGCGAGCTGCTTAACTGCAGCGGTAGCAGTGACGACGTGTTCGAGGAGGGCGCGGCCTCCCTGGCCCCGCCCCCCGCCCCGCCCGCGCCCCCGTCCTCTGATATACCCACGTCCGACGGCAGCATCGTGGGTGAGTACACCCGGCTGGAACTAGTATTAGACTTGTATGAGTCTGGTGAGTAGAGATTAATGTTTCTTCGGAGTTCATCCTGGAGGAATACTACGTTAAATATAGCTCACTTCAATCCCATTTAGTAAAATCATAGATATAATAAAGAATTGCCCCTCCATAAAACTAATATTACACACAGCTCTGACAAAACAATACTACGAATAAGTGCACACGCGGCATCGATAACTCACTAATTCAAATATAAGCCTTATTCTTTAAACGACAGCGCACATTCTCGTATGATTTACTCACACTAAAACAATTTGTCACTGTGTTAGGGGCGGGATCTACCATCGCCGTAGTGACTCGACGATATCGATAGCTCCCGATGAATATATCGATAAATTTATTACAAAGATTTTGGTAATAAAGTAAAAACGACATGAAACCAACAAAATATTATTTAATTAATAATAAAATAAATAATTACAACTCAAACGACAAGTTGTAAGTAGCTATATAATTATAATTATATAATTTGGATAAAAAGGGCATCGCATTCTTGGTTAATTAATGAAATCTTAATGTGGTATATTTTTACATGACTGCTTTTATTAGTAATATTATGTGGTTATTCATTGGGGACTGCTCTGTGAGTACAAAATTATGACTATGTGATGCTGATCATTATATGCACTCAAAGCTAATGGTTTATTTATGAAGATTAAAGTAAAATACTATAACCATAACAAGTGAACAAATATAACTATTTGTACTCGACTTTCTTGTCGATAAACTCTGATAAATCTCCACGACCATTACTATCTCACTCAAATACGGCGGTCCTGAGCAGCGGACGCACCATGTGACGTCACGTCTTGATGAGCGTTTCGTTGAGTCACTTACATTGCTGGTTTAGTTACTCAGTGTCACACTAAGGTGGTAGTAAAAGAGCAATGTATTAATGTAGACATAATACAGTCGGAGTAATATAGAAAAGTAAAGTAATAACTTGTTGTTTTTCGTGATTTTTTAAATTAATTTTGTAAATATTTGTACTTACATCTGGTAACCGATGCCACGATTTCTACAGTTTTTGTTTTGGCTTATATTTCTGCACGAAACCACTGCACAAGGCGGTATTTTATCGTTTGTTGTACGATCGCGGCTGACAACAGACTAACTCGGGATGACGCCCATATGCGGGCGTTACTGATACGGCCCCTTGCCACTTTTCCTTTTTTAATATTTCTATGAGTAAAATAATAGTTTCACGCAAATTGTAATAACTTAAAAACATCAAAATTTCTACTTGTTTATGTAAGTATCTCATTGGTTGCAGTTGAATGATGTACATATTAATACGCTTGTGTCGTGTAGGAGTGGACGAGGCGTCGGCGGCCGTGTGTGTGTGGGTGCGCGCGGAGGCGTGTCCCCAGTGGGGCGCGCTCTGCCCCGCCTGCATGGCGCCGCTGGAGGGGGACGGGGGCGGGGGCGGGGGCGCGGGGGGCGCGGGCCCGTGCGTGGCGCTGACGGGGTGCGGCCACATGCTGCACCTGGCGTGCCTCAACCGGCGCCTGGAGCGGCTGCGGGCGGCCGGCGCCGCGCTCTACATCGACTGCCTCGTGTGCGGCCGCGTGTACGGCCGCGCGGCGGGGGCGCAGCCCCGGGGCTCCATGTCGTGGACCCTGCAGCCCACCGCGCTGCCGCAGCACCCGCCCTGCTCCTCGTCCATCCTCGTCACATACAAGTGAGTCGTCGCAGCACGTTCGCCCGTCTCGTGTATCACAGTGATGTAATATACTGTCTCCCCAGTTTCCAGTCAGGCGTGCAAGGTCCGCAGCACCCAGTGCCGGGCGCCCCGTACTACGCGGTGGGGTTCCCCCGGTATACAGTACTGCCGGACACTCCGCTCGGCCGGCAGGTAAGCTACACACGGCGTGACACTACGTGCACAATACGGTGTATGAGAGTGTCGCAGTACTGAGCGGGGCGTGGTGCAGGTGCTGTCTGCGCTGCGCAGTGCGTGGGAGCGCGGCGCGCTGTTCGGCGTGTGCGCGTCGGTGACGACGGGGCGCGAGCACGTGGTGGCGTGGCGCGCCGCCCCGCCGCCGGCCGCGCCGCGCCAGTACGCGGCGCCCGCGCGGCCCGCCGCCCTGCTGCGCGCGGCGCTGGCCCGCCTCAACGCGCTGCTGCCGCCGCCCGCGCCGCCACTGTAGCCGCGCCCGCTACACTTTGTCTTAAATCACACAACGACATCTCCCGCCGAGGGAATGTCAAACTCTTCCTCAATAAACCCACCGCGGTCCATCTCCTGCTCCGAGCCGGGCCGCAGTATATCATTGAGCTCGACCCGTAATTACGACCAGTTACTGGATAACACTAATCTTACAATAGATCAATGACACCATCAATTAACGCCTTGACTGCAAAATGGGTCAACAAGAAACTACATTAGCGCAAAATTTGCCTTCTTCAAGTGTTCGCAACGATTAAGGCCTCAAATTACATTTAAGAATTTTAACGTAACTAAAAAAATCTTTATATACACTCATTTATACTATGACAATCTTTTAAAGAGAATTATTGAAACGATATCGAGTTAAAGACAACTATTTCGTTGAAACGACTAAAATCATAATGAAAGAATTAAACAATATGCAATACAAGAAATAACACGTCACATGTGTGACTTTGTTCACTCGAATATTTTGAAATATATTTATTGTACACATCCGGTATGCTACATACATGGCTTGTGGAATCAGTGCCTTACATAAACACTAAATGCACAAGTCTGGAATTGTTTATCATATAATGACCAGTATTTTAGGTAGCTACAATTTTATAAAAGACATTTAACTTGTTATAAGTATTTTTTATTATGTATGTTTTTATATTCGAATATTTTTATATAAGCGCTACGTCTTCCAAACGAGGCAATCGGACGAAATGAGTCTTCCTTTAGTTGTAGTATATTATTATTACTTGTATTATACTTTAGAGACTGAAATATATCCATTATTTTAATTAACTAATATAATTAAGTAATGTAGAACAATGTTCTGTTTACTTTGATTTAGTGATGAATACGATTGCCTTAGCTTACATGATGTCCACTGCGCCAATACTTACTATTACATTCGTGAGTTAGTTTGTCAAATATCACATCAAACTGACTGAAGACATCAGTATGCAATTTGGAACAAGGATAAATTATAGTTTGGAATAACACGGACTACTTTTTATCCCACAACAAAGTGAGTAAAGCCGCTGGCAGAGGCTAGTTAATCCATATATGATTTTGACAGTATTGGTGATATTGTGTACTACAACAGCCTATCAATGAAAATGTCAACTATTTTATAGAAAGTAATAAGTGAGAGACCGCTACTTGGTCTATTACCTGTACACTGCGAAGCCACGCACTGGGATATCACCCTTGAGATGATAAAAGAGTTAAAATAATTAAATAGAAGAGTCCCCAACCTCGTAACTTCTCTAAAAATAGTTTACTGACGTGTAGAATGCAATATTACTCAATATTCGTCACTTTATCAAAGATAAACAGTCTGTATTTAGTAATACAATACATGTATATTGTTAGGTAAGTGTAAGTATCTTGCCAGTTACAAGGGTATTACTGTCAGCGCCACGTCACGCCACGTGCTCTCCGTATACATATACGTATAGATAGATCTGAAACTATGTCTGTATATTACAACGCAGACACAATAATTATACTTGTATGCATTGATTTGATGAATGAAGATTTCGTGTCGAATGTGGAATCTCGTGCAAAAGTGGTAGATGTCGTTTTCGACATTACAAAAAAATTCACTACTTGGTAGCACTCCAATGGAGCTACAATTGGGATTGCACCAGATGGAGCTAGGGTAGTTTTAAATTAGCGCCATCTAGTATTTGAAATTATTATGTTTGGATTTGAAATATGATACAAAATGAATAGGTTTATGTTATGTAAGTATTTCTCACATTGCGTAGCTCTCACACCGTGCCTTGTTGTTGATAGGTTAGACTAGAACAAATGAATCTGTCTTGTACGGGTCTGATACAATATCTATTATCATATTTTTGTATAGATTACTGTGTTATATATTTACATGTTTTTTCAAACGAGACAGCTATTTCCAGTTGTATGTTTTGTTGTAATACTTTGTCAAACAAATAATTTAGTGCCAAGACTTGTTAAACACACGAATATTGTTCTCAAATATTGTTATATGTATAGTTAAGTAGCTGCCATTGTATGTCTTCCCATGTAATGTAACGTTCTTCCAATGAGCTTTATTATATTAAGACATCGAATATTTACAAATTATACAATTAAGTATTATGTAAGATTAAACAAATGACATTAGTTAGTTCGAATTGTTTGTATTGAACCCACAGCTATGACATCCCGTACCTATTTATTTGTATGTATGGGGATATTATATTTTAAGACTAAAACTGTCGGAGGAAGTGTTCCGAGAGGTCGCCTCGTGTTGCCATACTGACTGTTGAGACGACGTCTGCTTGCCAAAGCCAAACAACCTGACAGCTAACTGGAATTTATATAAGTCAGTACGTGTACTATTTACATTGGGAGAGATATTATATTGTTTCATAATTATACGTAATATTTATATACAAACTTGTGTTTTTTTTCACGCCTACTGTAATAGTTTGGGTCTGCTTGCTATTTGTATGTTTCAATGTAAAAAAATCATATTTCGGATTCATAATACCATAGTTTATTGTGTGGTGTATAAAGCACGTTATATCATTAACATTATGGAGAACACCTCGTGTCTTATTGAAAACTAGCTGTGCCCGCGACTACGTTCGCGTGGAATAGTGACTATGAGCAGCGTTTTTTTTAAATATATACTCACGACGTGATTCTTTAATTTGACATAACTTTTTTTATTTATGAACCGATTGACATGAAACAAACACTAAAACATAACTGAAGCATACTACAATATATTCGTGAAAACCACATCCAACTCGGATCAGCCGTTTCTGAGATTAGCGTGAACAGACAAACAGACAAAAAAAAAGTTAATTACATTTTTGGGTTCGACATCGACATAACAATAACCCCTGCTATTTTTTTTATTTTTATTTTCAATGTACAGACAACACTTTTCTACAATTTTATTATATGTATAGATATAGATGTGTAGGTTCCCGAGATGGGACTGCTAAATATAAAAATATCTACATACATGAATATAATGACTTCAGTCAAGTAAGTCTCATATATCTGTCTAAAGAGAGACAAGCTGTAAATAAGGCTAAGACCTGTGTTGGCGCTGCGCTGTGACAAGTGGCTGGTGCGTCTAGCGTCTAGTGAGCGCGCCTAGCGCTAACATTTAGGTACTAACTGTCAGAATGTTTATCTGTGACGAACTTGAAGCGGGAACAATGAACGTCTCATCACAAACAGAAGCTGCTCTTAATCTTCCCGCAAACACAAATAATTTGCGGTACCACGTCTATCCGATAAAATCTATATATTTACATAGCAAATGTTATAATTGCTCTTAACACGTACGACTTAGGGCTCATTTTAAATTTAGTGCATTTTCATTTACTAATAATGTTATCGAAGAACAAAAAGGTTCAGTTATTTATAGATAATGCTTGAGGTATATAACGTGCACGTCAATTGCTCGATGCACAATTATCTAAATTATCAAGATGGTCGGTGAAGTAACAAGCCGCGTGTTGTTGGAAGACATTCTGTCGGAGAAGCAGGTCCACCACATAGTGAAGCAGGCGACCGGTGCCGACACCTGGGCACTGCGTGCGAGTGACGTCACGCCGGCGGCGGACGGCATGGCCGGCTTCCTCGCAGACCACAAGCGAGTCAGGCTGGACGTCGCAGTGGACGGGGAAGTGAAACACATCCATCTGTTTATAAAACGTATCCCGCTGAACAACCAGCCGAAAGCAGATTTAATTACCAACAACAACTACTTTAGACGAGAGCAGTTCATGTTCCAAGTGCTCGAGGAGATCCGAGATCACAATGGTAAGTCATTCGATTCCAAATAGCACTGTTCTACTTACTTATAAATAAAGAAAGAAAGGAACCACACGAGTAGTTGGTAGCTGATAATCCTCAAACCAATGATATTCCCTCAAACCAAAACAGTCAGTACCTACTCTGTAGTTTTTAGACGCTCAGAATACAAGCAAGCAGCTTCAGATCTCAAGTGAAACAAGTGAATTTATTTCTGCAAATAGACTACAAGGTGGCACTTTAACCAGTCAATTTTATCAAGCGAACGATGAGGTCTCAGAAAAAAAAACTTAGCATATACTGCCTAAGACTTTATTATTGAGTTACGGTTGACTACCTACATATTTGATAATGCGCTTACGAAAATTAATTTGTTAGTAATGTAGTGTGTCAGTGTAGGTAATCTAATAATTTAGAAGCACGGTTCGAGATAGATGTAACACGCAACGTATGTGCAAATTATTTATGAATACAGGTTTATCAGACAAATAATATTTTAATTGGTCTCCTTCAGATCCAAATCCCTGGTGTCCGAAAGCGTACATCTACACTGACTCAGTGATCGTGATGCCAGACTTGTCGGTCGAAGGGTACGCCTCGCCTTACTACCTGGACACGCTGGACTACGAGCACCTGATGCTCGGCATGGCAGCGCTCGCCAGGTTCCACGCAGCCTTCACCAACTACGAGACCAAGAAAAGCATTGCCAACAACCGTCCGTACAACACTAACGATGAACATGGAAACTTGCTGACGGAGCCGACATTCTGTGACTGTCCCTTCATGAAATCTTGCGCCAAACTAACTGCAAACTTCCTTAAGACTTATTCTTGCAAGCCGTATCGGAATCTACCTGATTTGGAGGCAAAAATAGGTAAGCAGAATTTAGTTGCATGTGATACTATGAGGGAGTGGAAGGGCACACTGAACGTACTGATCCACAAGGACCTGTGGGTGAACAACATCATGTTCAAGTACCAGGACAATGAACTCGTCAACGCGATGATCGTCGACTTCCAGCTGATCCGATACACGCCGCCCGCGTTCGATGTAATGACCTTCATGTATTTGACGACGTCCAGGAGCTTCAGAGAACAGTACGAGCGAAAGCTGTGCGACCGATACTTCGCGGTGTTCTGCGAGCATTTGGACGATGAGTCGAAGCGGCGAGTTAAAAAATTGGGGTACGATAAGGAAAGCTTCCTGCAGTGGTGCGAGCAGAGTCGCATGTTTGGACTGTTGGAGTCGGTCGCCATTCATCCCTTCGTCCTGATGCATCCCAAAGTTGCACAGAAGACGTTCGACGACCCCGAGACGTACGACCGGTTGGTGAACGAGGACCGCACGGAGCCGGTGCTGGCGTATGCGCAGCAGTGCGCGCGCTACCGGGACAGGATGCTCGAGGTGTCCGAGGAGTTCGTCGAGAGATACGTGCTGAGCGAGCCGTGATCCGCTCAGTGATCACCTCACATACATTGTTAGCTTTAATTTTTATTGTAATGTTGCATGGTGTTAGAGAGAATTGTTTTAATTAAATTACATACATAATTTACCTATATACAGCCTACACTTCTTCCTTTACAGTTATTCATTAGGTGATAAATATTTTTCAAGTAGGTACCTAGTATCGCACAACGTAATCAATAAAGGTAAACAGTGTGTTTCATACCCACTAGCTATGGTAATTACACAAAACCTTTGATTTGTACATGCCATTAATTTCAGTTAAATCCTTGTAAATAGAACTTCAGTAACCTTCAATGTTTAATCTCGTTACGCGGACAGCCATGTCTCTGACAAATGGCTTTACAAGACATAAACCGTGTTAACACGCGAAAACATCGTTGATCAAATACAATATTGAACAAGTCAGAGACATTGTAACACATGTCAGGTTCATCACGCCAAATACCACGAACCTAAGTAGTAAATGTGACGCTATGTCGGCGAGGTGGTGGCGAGGTGGCGAGCTGGCGAGGTAGTGGTGAGTGGTGATGCAAGTGAGGCGCCAGATGGCCGCGTCCATGTGTCCGCCCTGTATGGACATGCCGGCCGGCTGGCTAGGGATGCTGCTTTCAACAATCATAACTATGTAGTTAATCAGTCTGATCTACAAGATCTACAAGAAAGATATTTTTCCTTCTTTAAAACATGGCTTCAAACTATTCTCCAGTGTATAGGGTGCATTGACACTATACCTACATTAAATCTTAGGATTTTTCATATAGCATTAAGTTGTATATCCGTAATCAATAAACCGACCGAAAAGGATACCGACTCTTGACCAGCAGATGAAGATAATAGATAGATTTTGAAACCATTTAAATGTCGAGTAGCGTAAATTAAAACCGTAAGTATATAATTTTACGCAACAAACACAACAGTGGCACTGACAGCCCTACCCGTGACACAGTTAGCAGGCTGAGTATGGACAGCACACGGCGCTCTCCATATCGAGACAGAAAAATAGCCTGTTTACTGCTAATGCAGTTTATTTCGCGATCGATTCGCTTTCCTACCATCATGTACCTACCTAAGTACCGCTACCGACATGTGCATTATGGATGCAATTAATACTTGAATATTTTTAAACGACTTTCTAAAAGGGTCAACACTTCACCAGTTACTCCAGAACTTTCCCTTTACTCGAAATAAGTTTTAAACCTGTAAGTGATCGTGGACGCTCGATAGTTTTCGAGTGCACTTAAAAATTATCTGGGATACACTAAAGTGATCGATAGTTTTATAGCAAGCTCGAAAGTGGTCGAGGAATCTTAATAGTTTTGGAGACAACCCGAAAGTGGCTGAAAATGCATTTTCGAGCAAAGTGATAATTTAAAGATTTGTTTAAAATATATAGATAGATAAGTATCAATCCTTTTTATAGATGTTTATCTATTATATCTATTACAGATATAATTAATAAATATCTATACACCTGTTAAGGTGAATCAAGCAACATTGATACTTTTTACAAATGTTTTTGGTGGTATAGATTTTCTTAAAACAAAGCCATTACAATATATAATTATATATATTATGCGGAGAATTTATGTCAGAAATGTTTATGTTACTGCGAACTACGTCTTGTTGTTTATCCTGGTCTGTACGATGTGTTTGGAGGCTTGAAGGGCGCCGGGTGTAGCTGCACCGGCTCAGGTGGCCGCTGCCGTCACGTCACGCTGCGCACACGCCGCCAAACAATACATGCATTGTGTCAACTGTGCAGGCTGTACTTATGCATACAGGTACCTATATTAATCTCAGAAGTGTCATATAATATGGTCTGATTTCTGAATGTTAAATAGCGATAAAAGTTGAAAGTTTTTTGGGTACAGTAAAAGGGGGTGAATAGGGACAGAAGAGGAGTGAATCGATACTATGAAGAATTTCCCTTCTGTCTCTATTCACCTGTCGATCCCTATCTACCTACCCCTTTTTATGGTACCTAATCTTACGTCCCCACTTTCCATGTTTGCAAGTACCGATGCCATGTGATTTTGTTATACATATATGTACCTCTAGTTACGGGTAGGTAGGTAGTTACGGGTCTTCAATCACGTCAACACCCATAAAGTGGCCAGCGCAAACCAATCTAGTCGAACAAGTACATCAATTTTAATGAACGATGGCAACCAAGTGTTTATTTGCCGAAACTTAATAAAATAATATTTTAATGGTTAATTAACGAACAACGTTGTGAATTTGTGATCGGTGTAAGGTCACTCCTGACCGCGGGAACAGAGTTGCATCATGTCGTAAATCTGTCGCTGGCGATACACATCGCGCCTTATTGTGTGTTTATACGGTGTTATTATGATTCAGTACTTTGTAGGGCTGCTAGGGACACAAAAACTATAACCGACATAATACCTGTTGTTAAGATGTACCTGCTTAGTCGTATAGTAGTTGATCACATCACATCAAAACGCCAGTTTAAGTAGGTAATTTATTACTTTGTAACAAATATAAAAAAATACTGCCTCGTTGGCCGAGTGGTCGCAAGTGCGACTGCCGGGCAAGGGGTCTCGGGTTCGATTCCCGGGTCGGGCAAAGTATTACTGGGTTTTTAAAAAATTCTCAGTAGTAGCACGAAGTCTGGAATTGTGCCCGGTATATGGCAATAGGCTCACCCCCTATTACATGGGACTCATAACATAAATAGTGAAAAGTGGGTGTTACATTGTACAGTGGCATAATGTGCACCTCTGCCTACCCCTTCGGGGATAAAAGGCGTGATGTTATGTATGTATGTAAATATAAAAAAAGGTGAACCATTTACAAAATAATTTTATTCAAGATCCCGTGCCACTACACTAGTATATATATACTTTTTGTCATCTCCATTACCTACTCCTACAGATAGACCTATGTAATAGTGTAACAGGTATCTGTTTCATAACAGGCGAGGAGGATTCTGATTAATTCTCATCTTTTATTTATTTCCACTATTAGTAACCAGTCAAATACATACATATATGTAAGTACATCCTGAATATTATCGGTCCTTTACAAGCGTCTGAAGGCGGTGATCTTGTGACGGAGGCAGCCCTGCCATTCACCCCCTGGAGTGGGACAAGGGCGGCGTGTCTCCCAATACGGCGCGCCAATGTCTCTCCTCTCGATTGCGTGCACACACTGTACACACAGTTATCGCATGTTATGTTGTGTTAACTTGTTGTACGAACGTGGCCGTGGCGACTAGTAAAGTAACGAGTCACTGTCAAAGCATTCTAAGTCAATAAGTCCGCGTACAGGCACTTTTAAATGAGTTTCTCAGTGAAACTACTGATAATACTACCATACCTGCAAGTACACCTTCTATAGGGTCATAGGACCCTTTAAATAAGCTCAGAGTAATAAATATAATGTTTGTGCTTTGGTATGAGAGGGCGACGCCTGCACACTGGTACATTCCCCATATATGGACAACTTTTAGTTTCGTCGCGGCAATTAACAGGAAAACTGAATGACTAGCATCTAAAGAACAGCCTGTGCTGTGACGTCACACTCCTTGACCTCATTCGCTTGAGGTCTGAGGTCCAGTTGCATCTACCTATGGTGTACCGCGAATAGGCCGCGGCTGATGAGCTGGCTTTAATTGTTGATTGATGGGTCATGGGGACACTGCATCATTATTTTGCGAATTTAATTTGGAACAAGGCTGGAATTTGTTTAAGAAAATGTATTTTTATTTGTCTAGGAAATAAGATATTTAATATCATCATGAAAAAACTGACCGATCACAAGTAGGTGTCTGCTTTTTATTTAAAGTAAATAAGACCTACTGTTTTTATTCCGATATACGTTTTCTAAACTTCACAATCAAGCAAAAATTTACAACATATCGCCACGCTTTTTATTCGCCAAATGCAGGTACAGGTAGGTGTCTCTACCTCGCACACGCGCACTCGACGGACACACTAACTCCGTTCTTCTTCAACTGAAATTCTTGAAAAATAGAAAAAGCCCAGGAACATTCCACCATGAATATAAACCGAGATCGTTCAACAAGACAGTTGACCTAAATAACATTTATTTAAATATATTATTATTAATGAATACATCGGATCAATATCCATGAAATTCTTCGAAATCGAATCATTGCGGTTTGTATTCATTCCAGCTACAAGGTACAAATAAAGCTCCGTTTAAGGATAATAAGAATAACACACAAATTATATTTAGCTCAATGTAAAATTCTTTAAACAACACTATTTAATACCTACTTATGTTACTTGCATGGCGTCTAGCTTGTTAATAAATCCAACTTGTGAGGTAAGGTAAAACGACTTGTACAAATATCACCAATCACTTTGGATGAGGGGAATCACTTGGGTTTAGTTTATTAATCCATGCCATTAAACCACCTATCTGACAGTTAGGCAATGGAACCTAAATCCAGCAGGTATGTCCAATTGTCCACCAGATGGTCACTCATTTCATTATGTTACTAAGAAAATGATGACATCATATTTACACAATCCAGCAGTTTTGATTTGCACGCAGCTTGAATAATATATTCTTTTCTCATAAACTCTAAGTAGGAATTAGAAAGGAATTGATATAAAATTAATTCCTTATCATATGTGTTATATTGCAGTTTCTTTATAGATCTACATCTACACACACCATGCAACGTGTTGTACTTTAACAACACATTATTTTTGTTATTGTCGGCAAGGAATATTTTTAAGAAAGTTTTACCAAACAGTTATCGCTGTTAATTTTAAAACTAGTTATTAAGGAGTGCGGCAAATGTCTGACAGTCTATGATATTAATAACTTCACTTAGATAAGGATAAAAGCAGCTAAAGTGACCATTAATCACTTTCTATGTCTATTTAGTTCGCGGATCCACACACGCGGGTGTAACAGAACCTGTTGAACTTGAATATTTCAAGATAAACAATGGTAGGTACATATTCGATGAGTGTGTCTGCGATAAT